AGATTTCCTTAGTCGTATATACCTGTCTTCAAAAGACCTTGATACAAGCAGCTGGATGGACCTGGCAGTTGGCCAGACTGTTCAGGACCACCAGAACATATGCCAAGTCTTGTGCGGTTAATTATCTCTTATCTACAAGCTTTCTTTGTACTGTTCTAGAGATGGCAACATATGTTTTTGATGGCAACATAAGTTTCTCAAACTGCTGAAGTGTTGTGTCAGCTTAGTAAACAGCTGTAGTGCTGTTTCAGCTCTTAATACCTGTGGCATAAAGCCTTCAAGCTTGCATCTAGTAATTGTGGTCTTCAAGCCTGCATATAGTAATATGTGCTATGTGTGCTTATATGCTTACCGGTGCCATCTTAACTATCTATAAATGTTTGAGTTGCTCAATAGTGATCAATCATCCTTAATATGGAATATTATTATCACAATTGTATATATAATTATTGCTACAATTGTTTTTTTTTGTTACCTTCTATCCAGACCCAGTTTGTTTCCTAGTCCAGAGGAGTAACTACAAGGAGACTATAGCCCTGCCCCTCCCCCCCTACTGACACACTGATAGACAGACACACACTATTACTCGGGGAAACACTGACAGACACACAAACTCACTGACCAACACATACACATTCACTGACCGACATTAACTAACAGACACAGACATTCACTTAGACACACATTACCACCACCATTACCAGACAGCCACTAGAGGGCTTCCTGGTTTGAAACTGACCTTTGGTTCATTATCTGACACTGGACATCCTCACGCTCTGCATGAGGACCTTCAGCAGCAGATTTTCCCCCATAGGAAAGAATTGATTTAATGCTTTTCTTTGGGGTGGTCCAATGGGTGCACGGCCTTTGCTGCGCATGCGCATTAGAGCCAGCTCGTTGCTGGATGAAGGAGGCGCTTTGGCCCAGCGCTGAGGGACAACGGCGCTGGGAAAAGGTATGTAAATAAAGGGTTTCTAACCCTTTATTAACCAGTGAAGGGAGTCACAAGGGAGGGGGAAGGCAGAGAGATCGATAGTGCCAGAAATACAGCTTTGTATTCCTGGCACTATAGTATCGCTTTCAGAGTTTTAGGCAATGCTGGATGCCCTCGTGCATAGCGACAGCCACTAGAGGTGGCGTTTCCCCATAAAAGGTAATTATTGCAGTTTATTAAGTATATAAGTAAAAATGTGAAAACAAATTAGTTTTTTTGACCCATTTTTTACATTTTGTTTACACATAATGTTGAATAGATACATAAAGGACAATAAATGAATGCCAATTCTGTTCTTTGAAAAAACAATATATAAGGTGTGCGAGGGCACGTAAAAAGAAACCTTAAATTATGGTGGAACAAACACAAAGTGCAAATTCTAGTTTTTGTTTGGTTGAGAACATTTACCAAGAACTTACCAACAATAACATTATTCTTTTAAAGGGTTTACCCATGGTGAATCGTAATTCATTTATGTTTGTTGTGAATTACTACAACACTAGTGTCCCATAAAGGAGGAAATATCTCATTTTCTGTATGCATACATAATCTGTTGCTCTTTTGTTAGGACTTGAATTCTTTGCAATTTTTTTTCTTCCCCAATTATGTCTTTACAAGTGATTGGAAATGACCACAGTGCATTGGGAAAGTCCAGTAGAGCGAGTAGGTGGGTGTGCTTAACATGTAGTTAACAGTCTCTCATTTAATGTCTGAGATGTTATCTCTCTCAGACAGATGTCTAGGAGTTGTCTTTTACTATACCAAATTTGCTTGTAACCCTACAGCACAATCCTGCATAACATGTTTCATAATAACAGTAATAATTCAGTACTAATATAAGTGAAGATAAATTACAATTAAAAAGTGTGTTTCTATGAAGTCTGTTTATATGAATAAGTGTTTGTGTAGGAGATTGTGTGTCCGTATGTATAAATGAATGTATGTGTGTACGTGTAATTCCCCCCCCCTCCCAAAAAAAAAAAAAATTAGTTCAGGGTGGTGCAGAGGGAGAACCCAAATTTCTTTAGGTTATTTTTTTTTTTTTTTTGGGGAGTACGGGGGTTGGCATCCCAAACCACATTTCTACGTAGGTACGCCTCTGTCTTCAAGAATTAAAGGCATGTCACTTTATCAGTAACTTCACACGTTCTGCATTAATTTTTCACAAACATTTCCGGATAGCCCCATCATCACATATCATGTAGATTATCTCCCAAACTCCTACAGATTTTCCATAATAATGACAAGACTGGGATAATGTTGGCTGTTCTTGCTGCATTTCACTACTATATTATTTCTCTATTAGTTCTTACATTTTTTTATACCAACCCCATAATGCAAAGTGCAGATATACAGATGGAAAATTAACTTAAAATTCAGAGTAGCATTTGACAGGTAAATAACTTATTTGGTAGTAGATTCATATTTTTGTTTCAGGTATAATATAATATTATAAAATTACTCATGATGAATCTCCTAAGACTCGATATAATTGAGTCTTAGGAGATTCTTCATGAGTAACTTCACGAAGGAACAAGTAGCAAAAATAGTGGAATTTTATTTTCAAAATGGCAGGTAGAAGAATGTAATTTTTTTTATGTCCTGTGGTCGAAAATGGTCCTGAAATGTGGATTCAACTTGATAGGCAGTGGTATAACTACAACGGTTGCAGCGGTCATAGCTGTGACTGGGACCATCACTCCAGGATGCCCGGCCGCCATTTCAACCCCTGCGACCATGGGCAGGCATAACTTCATGGCCGGTGCAGAGCTGCATTAGCCCGCGTAGTACAGTTGCCGGGCGACATGCAGGAGGGGGAAGCACACAGCACAGCGCTGTAACCTGCGGGTAACTGCATGTAAGGTGGGGGAACGGACCACGGGTATAGGAGCCTCTGTTTTCCTCGACCCTGTCTGACATTAAGTGCTCACTAAGAACACTTCCTGTCAGATCGGTTACCATGGGCCACTCACCCATACTTCATGGACGAGAGCAGATACAGAGGGGGATTGGGGAAAATGAGACACGTGGTTAAGAATTGAGACACAGAGTGACTGGGGGAAGAATTAGACAAATGGGGGAGCAATTGAGACATGTGGAGGGGCTGGGAGGGGAGAGAATGAGACACGTGGAGGGGATGGGGGGGAGAGACACGTGGAGGGGATGAGGGGGAGAGAATGAGACACGTGGAGGGGAGAGAATGAGACACGTGGAGGGGAGAGAATGAGACACGTGGAGGGGAGAGAATGAGACACGTGGAGGGGAGAGAATGAGACACGTGGAGGGGAGAGAATGAGACACGTGGAGGGGATGAGGGGGAGAGAATGAGACACGTGGAGGGGATGAGGGGGGAGAGAATGAGACACGTGGAGGGGGAGAAAATGAGACACGTGCAGGGGATGAGGGGGGAGAGAATGAGACACATGGAGGGGATGAGGGGGAGAGAATGAGACACTTGGAGGGGAGAAAATGAGACACGTGGAGGGGATGAGGGGGGAGAGAATGAGACACGTGGAGGGGACGAAGGGAGAGAATGAGACACGGAGGGGATGAAGGGGAGAATGAGACACCTGAGGGATGAAGGGGAGAGAATGAGACACCTGAGGGGCGAAGGGGGAGAGAATGAGACACGAGGGATGAAGGGGAGAATGACACGCGGAGGGGATGAAGGGGGAGAGAATGAGACACGTGCAAGGGATGAGGGGGGAGAAAATGAGACACGTGCAGGGGATGAGGGGGGAGAGAATGAGACACATGGAGGGGATGAGGGGGAGAGAATGAGACACTTGGAGGGGAGAAAATGAGACACGTGGAGGGGATGAGGGGGGAGAGAATGAGACACGTGGAGGAGATGAGGGGGGGAATGAGACACGTGAAGGGGAGAGAATGAGACACGTGAAGGGGATGAGGGGGAGAGAATGAGACACATGGGAGGACCAGGGCGGTTTTTGCATTAGGGCCTGATGGTTTCTAGTTACCTATCTATGGATGGAGTTCCTGCTCATACATCCAGGGCCACAATGGACCTCCTGAGACAACTGTTCAGCGAGCAATAATTTCAAGACATTCCTAAATTAATTTGCTGCCACGTTCGCCTGACCTTTCAGCTCCCAGTTACTTCTTGTGAGAACATCTGAAGGACTGGATGTACGTGAACAAACCTCGTGCACTTGTGCAACTCAAGGAGAATATCCATTCAGAAAAGCCAGCATAATCCTCAATTATAAAAGTGAAATTGGCACTTTTAGAAACCGTCACAAATATGACAGACTCCAGACACATAAAGCACTCCGGCAAGCTGAAGTGCTTTATGTGTCTGGATTCTTCTTTTAGCTTTGATAACTATCTTATCACAGATAAGAAAGCTTCTGTAATAAAACATTTTATAATTCTAATATATTAATACACAAATGTATATGTACAAAAAATTTGTACACACACACACACACACACACACACACTTGCTTATTTAATTTATAAATAGTTAAATTGTAAGTGTAATAAAACAAAGCTGATTTTTTTTTCACACTTGTTAACATCCTGAATAAAATATTGAGGGAAAAAAAATAAAAATCACAATCCTTGAAATCATAAATAACACCTAGACATATCTAGCATCAGATATTATTTAAAACTTTGTGGTTAAGTCATAGTTTTTGAGCTAACGTAAACAAGCCAGCAAGGAATCAGGTTTACCTATCAGAGGCAATAACAACAGGTGAAAAGAAATAAAACTGGAATTACCGGAAATGACATCCTTGTTTTTTAACAGCTAAGTATCAAAATCATTTAGAATTGACTTCTGAGCGGTTTCTGTAAACACGACTAGAATATCAGCATATCTTCTTACAAAGTAATTGACATAGATAATAAGGAAGTGCTGTACTGTAACCTTGTATGGAAGAGGGTAAGCTTTACCTTTTGTAATGTGGGGAATGCACAGGTAGGCGGGCTGCTTATCTACTACTACCTGTAATTAGCGGTCTATAAATAACCCCTGAGCTCAGCCTGCTTTCTAATGGTATCCGCTGGAAGCCGAACTAACAGTCAGACAACACTGAGACTCTAAACAGCTCACATTCTGAGACTTGATCAGCGAACGTTCTGGGACTCTGCAAGGTAAACGTTCAGCTCAGTGTTCTATGGGTAAACGTGCTGAATGGAAGTGATACAAAATGGAAGCTTAACTGACATAAACTATATACGTTGTATGATATATGTGCACTGGTTCCCAACTTTTTCTGTAATCTAGACAGGAAATTAATAGGGAATTTCCAAATCCTGGCTGTTGGCGTGTCAGGAGGATGCGCCATAAACTGTTATACCACCAGTTGGAATGTTTAACCTATAGGACATAACTAGAAACTGGTCTCCAAACTGGGATGCAGTGAGCTTCCTCTTTAACCCCTTAAGGACACATGACGTGTGACATGTCATGATTCCCTTTTATTTCAGAGGTTTGGTACTTAAGGAGTTAAAGGAAAGTTTCATTTATCTCATTTACCTCTGACAAGAGCAGATAACTTTTTTGTGTGTATGTATATGTGTTTTTTTTTTGTTTTGTTTTTTACGATCTCCATAAAGTAATGGGTTAAACTGATTCCTTAATGGACTAAACATATTTATTTGGGGAAAATCCCTCCATCGTGGTTTTGTACATTCCTTTACTTAAATTCTTTATTGACTTCATAGCATATCTAACTACTGCTAGCAGCTGTAAAGCAGCAGGATCGATTTACTAAACAGAGTTGTGCTCAATCAAGTTTGTGGGGTTTTTTTTGTTTGTTTTTGTTTAAAATAAATTATTCTGAATTCTATTAATTTTCACACACCACAATATATTTCTACCGAATTTTCAAATGTTAGGCAAAAAGACAGAATCGTGACTCCGTTATTCTAACTTGGCTATTTTGGGTTACAATTTTCAATCCTCTTTTCAGTTATCCACCATTAACGATTGCTGTTTAGTGGGTCAACAAAACAAATTGTTTGAATTGTTGTAACTTTACAGTAGCACTAGTTTAAGCAAAATAAAGTCCATATATATTGGGTATACTGATGAGGTACAACGAATATAACCTTTCAGCTGTTAAGAGGATAAAGTGAATTAAATTCGTAGCTGGACAGCCACAGAATAGTGACTACTGTTTGTTACATACTTAACCCCTTAAGGATCAAAATTCTGGAATAAAAGGGAATCATGAGATGTCACACATGTCATGTGTCCTTAAGGGGTTAAACTCGAACTATACAAAGAGGTTATGTCAATGCCAAATATTCCAGCTGGAAGGGAATGTCTATGTGTAAAGTATATCCTGAGGCACACATGCTCTTTTTACCCAACTCCTTTTTATTTACCATGGAACAATGGTACTGTGTTGACCATGCCAGAAACTTGAAATGGTTTGACATTTATATACTAAACACCAAATTTTCTTTGACATGTGGATTTTCCATTCACTACAGTTTAGTTAATAAACCCCTGTCCTGCACAAGTTGCTGAGATACTGTTATTGTAGTAGCTAAGTAAGCTGATGAGTAGTGTGGCTTCGGTATCATTGTAGAAAGTCAAATTATATATCCAGTGTGCATATATGTTCAATAATCCGTGTGTGTGTATATGTGGAGGGGGTATTTTTGGAGCAAAAATTGTATATTTTCTGTATGAAGAAGCAATGCAAATGTGTTTGTGTGTCAAATTGATAAGAACGCACAGTTTCCTGTTGTGTTTTAGGTACATAACAATAAGAGAAGGTTCTTGTGAAATGAGAATCTGCCACATTGTTTGAATATAAAGATAACATGAAGGTGATAAACACCCATGTGCTAAATAATTCCACTTCCCCCATGGACATTTGCATAAAAAAACTACTGTGAGAAAAGCAAGAGAGTTTGCATTCTGCTCAAAGCAAATGGTAAATTTGTTACTGGGGGTGGACAAATTCCTTTATATTCATTTAGTAGAGGACTTTTGAGCTAACTTAATCAAATATAAAGTGATTGAACAAGTGGTTTCCTTTAGTTTTGTTTACTAATAATGTTATTTAATGGAGGTACAGTATGAGGGTACAGTAAGGAAGTCCCAGGAGATCAAACAAAAAATAGCCTCCACTGAGATATAGATATATATATGCTTATCTGTTTTTGTTGCATAAGTCTGGATAACTTGTTTGAGCTGCTTAACATCTCCGTTAATAGAAATAACTTTTTATTTTATGTTTGATATAGGGATTTGAGTACTGGCCAATTTAATTTAAAAACTGACATGCAACAATACATAGTTGCCTTAAACTATTATTTTAATGTTGGTGCTTGTTATAAAATTACATAAAAGGAATAATATATTATTTTTTCAGAACAGTGCCTATGCAACCAGTAAATGTTATTGTAGGGCTATTTTGTTATAGGAACATGTATTTGCTTTCAGTAGGCAAACAAGGAAGGTTATAGCAGAAACCTGTTGCCAGTGTAGGTGTTTGTAAACACTGCATGACTACAAGTGAAATGTTGACATGTGACCGCTTCAGCAGATGATCAGTGACACAAATCATGAGATCGTTCATTAAATTGACACTTTATCAATTGACTGACCCTTAATATTAAGAAAGGGTTTTTACATATGCACATGCTTATATTAAATACAACATGGTTTTCAGTAGTGTAGTATAAAAGTTTATTTTCTCAGGGTTTTTTTATTGTCTATTTCCTATTCTGGAAATCCCTTTCAAATTTTATTATGATGGTTTAAAGGATTATTCACAATTCTCAAAAATTTTAAGACCCAAAATGGCCAAAATAGAAAGAAAAAAAACTCCCAAGCCAGTAATGTGTCCCGTTCAACTATTTTGGTCTTCTGTCTGAAATTTCCATTGAATTCCTGACAATTCTCATGTTTGTGAAAAATGCTGCATGTGTGGTAGCTTCCAAGTATCACTTCAGCTGTTGCATATCATCCACAAATTTAATTCCCATCATAAACTCACACGCTGGCTGGCTGCAGTAGTTCTTCACCTTCAGCACAACTTGTAGCTGTTTTCTATATATAAATTCCATAATGGTTTCTGAAGGAGTGGTTAGACATTCAAGGTAGTAACTGGAAACTTAAGGGTTAACTCGGTGCTCATAATTTTTCTTCATGTTGGGTTAATGGTAAATACGCCAATGAATATAAAGTGTTTTGTACATTGTTACACATAAGTTCACTGATATCATGATATTTTACATTGCTATAGCAGAACACAATGGATAAGGCAAACCGCTTTGAGAAGGGAAGTAAACGGAGAGCAACATTCATGACGTTAAATAATGAAGAAGCAAAGAAAGTCTTGGAAATGTACGTGAAACGAAGTTTAAGCAACTGTGATGAGAAAACCAGAAAGGAATTGAAGTCTAGGAAAGTTCAGAGGTCAGCAAGTTATTTTTCCAAATCTTTAGTGGTTACAAGTAAGAAAAAGTTATGTAGAGCAAAAAACCTTCAAAAGACAGAGGAACTAAAAAAGGAAGAGCAAACTGTCAATCTAGAAAATGGAACTTTGGAACCTTCACAAGATGTGAATGAAAGTACAGACCATGCAAAAGGTACGAAAACAGTCAAACAATCCTGGTTTAAGAATTTGTTTGGTCCGTTATTTAAGAAAAAAGATGACAAGAAAAATGATAAACACATGCATTGTGTAGAGAAAACTGTGCCAGACACGTGTTGTGTTTTTGAAGACCAAGTGACTTGTGTTGAAGATGCTAGTCCACAACGTAAGGCATCCAAAAAGATTGGCATACAAAGATCCAGCATTAGAAGAGCATTTTCTTTTAAAAAACACACAACTGAAGATGTCACTGGAGGTTTAACAGCTGATGGTCTCCCAGGCAAGCTGAAGAGGCCAACACATCTCCCACTGACATGCATCAACAGACCCTCATCGGGCAAAGGTAGATATGAGAGTTTTATTTCACTTTTTTGTTTGTCTACATGAATTGCTAAATGTCAGGGCATGCTTAAATGTTCATGATAAACTTAAAGGGTTAGTCTTAGTGGTAGGAGCCTGTGCAGTGTTTGAGTGAAATATCACATCCAGAGATATTTGCACTTGTGTGCTTAGGACTAGTTCATAGAGAAGCATTTGAGTGGACTGTGGATGATGCGGCATGACGTCACAGAGTGGGGATGAGGACCTTTCCTGGGGCTGGATTCCAGCTAATTTATTCTTTTTCCTGTTTCCTACGGCATTTAGTTTTGTGGGTTTTTTTTTTTACAAGGCATAATCAAGGGAACAAATGTATTGATGAGAAATTGGTTATAGTGACATTTTAACTGATTTATTTGTTTTAGATAAAAAGAATACAGACTGCTATTACCAGAAGGTTTCTGCAGAAATTGAGTTGATTGTTAAGGAAAGTGATAAACCAGAAGAAAGAAAGAGTGTGAGTGGAGAATCAAACTGTGAAGCCACTGAAGACATAGGTAAACATTTAATTTATATTTGACTGGGGTTTGTTTTTTGTTTGTTTTTGTTTGTTTTTTTTTTTTGTTTTTGTGGTGGGGTGATTAAAAGAAGCCTGAGCATTGTCGCCCAACCTTGGAAGCATTTATGTGCCCCCATTGTGACCTCTGCAGCCTAAAAGCGATGGTGGGAAACCTGAATTAGTCAGACTGCTCAAGTTCCACTTGAGAATCTTCACTTGCTTGTTCTTCTCTAAAGTGCACACAATGTGTGACAGAACTTCAATAGCTGGGGTATGTTTATAAAAATGTCTGCATATATAACATCTATTGACTTTACGTGTTTCTTTTCTTTTAGATGATCTTATTAAAAAAATAGTCTCTATACTCCGGAATCAGGGGGATGAATGGAACAACAAGGTAAAAAATACTTTCTTGAAATGTTTGTTTATAGAAAATGGTCATACAAAAAAAGTATTCTAAACCTGACACCATATGAACAGTCTATTAAAGGGACATGGTACTCACCAGAGCAACTACAGTTTAATATAGTTGACCTGGGGTGTGTGTGTGTATATATTATGTCCCTGCAGGCATTTTAATATTAAATGATGCAGTGCAATGTCATACCTCTCAATGCTTTCTTATGGGAAAGATTTGAGAATAGGCAAAAACGTAGTAGCTTGCCCTTCAATTACAAGCTGGTTATTGCCAATTTTCACTTTCTGGTTTTGTTATCCATGCATTTGTTTAGGGTTTCCTAAAGCTAAAAGTGTAATGTAGGCATAAACAGTGTGCCAAGAGAGGGTATTGGCTACGCCTCACTGACAAGGTCCAAATAGGACTGAAACAATCATCCGATGTTGTAATTTCCTGGACACCGGGAACTTGCTGGCATTTCTTGGTTCTCTCTGTATTGGCATATGTGCGCAGAACTTATTTGAGACCTGTGTGGACTAACCAAATGGGCAAACTACATTATTCTGTCTCAATGTCCTCATATCTTTTGCATGCTTTTGCAGTGTCTATGGTTTTTTTCCTTGATCAATAAACTAGTTTGACTATTTATTGAAATAGATGAAAGAGGACCCAACCATCAACCACTTCTTCAGAAACATTTCGTATAACTCATTCAAACAATTGGTCGATGTTTATGTTGACAAGGAAGTGAAAAACAGGGCGGCAGATGCAACTCCTGAAGATCTACAATTTGCATACTCTGTCCACTTAACCGCTCAGGTTGCAGGAATTTCCAGCCATTCTGTAAACCGGATCATGGGCTTCGGAACTCAATATCTACAAGACATTTTCACAAGATATTCATGTGGCAAAAATTGGGTAAGATTAGAGAGATCATCATCCGTTTACAGAGTAGCAGCATTGCTTACAACTTAAATTGTTTAAAGCACAAATTAAACAGAAAACCATAATGCAGCCTGTGCATGTTAGAAAACTAGATCAGCAACTTGTCATGTCATTTCCTCAATTGCTCTATTTTTATGTAACTGTAACATGTTAATTGAGTCCTATATTTCGACGTGATTAAAAGTGCAATTAATGGTTGGTTAAGCCATGCTGATTATAGATACTCTAGGTAAGGTTTCAGTGTGGGTATTAGTCATGGGAAAGGTCACCTTGAAACACCCATTGACCTAGATAGTTGCACTCTAACACATGACCTGACGCAATCATACTAAACTGTAAAATGTTTTGATCCTGATGCAAAATGAAGATGTTAATAGATGATACTCCCTCAGATATGTACGAATACATAATTGCCATGTTTATCAAGCTAATCTGTGACATTTCTGGGGCAGTAAAAGTGAAGCAATCAGTTGGAACATTATTTTTGGATTCAAAGAGAATAGTTTGAATTGACATATGGCCCACTACTGCCAGTTTCACTTGGATAGATTATCAATGTCTTGATCCATCATTGTTTTTTATTGTATACCAAGCTTGTCTGCAGACAGACTTAGCAGGCTACAAATCGCAAACTGGATCATTGCCAAAGCTGTCTTGGAAAAATAAAAGTTGTAATGCATTTACCTTCTAAGAAAATACAAGTGGTTCTTTAACATGGTTAAAAAAAAAATAGAATTTGAGTGGGGAAAGTAAAGAAATGGTCCTAAATATATCTTTGATTGTAGAGTTTTTGTTTTCTTAATTTTTATTTTTTTTATGTACTTTATTCACCATGTGGAAACTTGGGAACAAATTCGCATAATCTAGTCCATGATACAGTTGGAGGGATAAATCACTCAGTCAGTTAAAATGGGAAATTCCCCACTGCCTCTTTTTTGGTCTCTATTATTTAAATGGTAATGAAGTCACTACAATTCATTGTTTAGTGAGTAAACAAAGTGACACCATCTCTGTTAAATACAGTAATTATTGACCTTTTTATTGTTTTTAGTGGTGTATGTAACAAATAATTTTTATCTTTACACAGGACAGCAGTGTAGACTCAACGGCTTGCCTTAGTCCTGACTGAGGAAAAATATACTGCACTGAAGCACATGGTAACTGCAAGAACTATTGAAACATTCAACTCCATATTCCTATATTTCACGACTGGACCAGTGAATATTTAAAGGTTTCAGACAGGCTAGCCGGGCAGTCAAGAACTTTGAACTTTTGCTTTAATCCATCGCTACATTTTACTGTAACTGATGGATAATTAGATGTTTGAACAAAGTGTTCAAAATTACCAAGGAATCATTCTCCTTTTAGGCTTTTAAAGATTTCCCAACATTCCACAAGAAAAATGATTTTAAGAGTTTGAGAAAACAAGGCTTCAAAGTAAGTCTTTTATCCTAAAGTAAGAAGAGGAAAAAAAAACTTTTTATGTTTTACAAAAAGTGTAGACTGTTTACCATTTTATGACATTATTATCAAAAAATGTTTACACCTCTTGGAAATTTACAGCTATAAAACAGTTTTTTACTTCATTTTTATTAACCATTTTATTGCCATTTATTTACATTTTTTTTTTTTTAAAGAATACTTGACTTAACCTTCAAGAAATCAATAGTCTAAGTAATTGCATACAAATAGACATTTATCCATATTATCCAAAATAGGAGGGATTTCAATCATTCAATATTGATGTTTATAGGCTAAACAGTGGATTTTCAACTAGTCTTCAATATTTAGATTACTATAGATTTTAAGGGAAGAAATAGTTGATGCTAACTTGTTACCATGGGCAGACTTGGAAAATTATATAAGCGGTGATGGAAGATGGGGCATTAGAGAGACTAGTGTATGCAGCATAGTGACTAATTACTAAACCGTGAATATTTTACATTCAGGAAATTTTCTCACATTATCTGAGAGACAAGGCAGAATGGGAAAACAATGTAGCTTATTAAATTGCATACCAGAATCATTTGCTACTTGTTCTGCAGATCAAGTGATTTTAGACACAAGGTTTGGATAAAACCCTACTCGTGCTAGCTTACAATTGGGAGGTACAGCCATATATAGCTGAGTGTCATGAGAAATGTAGTCCACAGTGAAGGCTAGCCATAATTATCCTAGCACAACCCTAGTTGTCATAACATGAACATGACCACTGAAATGGATATGTGAAAATCATATTGTATGTGTAGTGGATTTTTTAATATATATATATATATATATATATATATTATATTATATTTTTTTTAAGTATATAAAGAAAAGACAATCACATGTCATCAGAGTACAATATTGACATTCCAACATCCCTACAGAACCCAGATCTCTTATTAATCAAGTCGAACATTGGTCAGTCTGCTTTAAAATTCAATAATACAAAATCATTGACAAAAAACAAAACCCGATGGACTTTAGTCATTAGGAAAGACAGTAGTAAATGCAAAAGGGTTTCACAGTTCAAATCTCGAATACATATCATACATACAAAGGCATATTTTGTATCCTGAACCCCTAACGCAAAATCCCGTGGAGGGTAGAGGCAGAGAGAAGTGGTGAGGACATCGTTAATGGTTTTTTTTTTTTTTTATATTAACCTGAAACAAAATGCATAAACATATTTCCTTAATTTATAATGAACTTTTAAACCGTTTTTTTGACTTTTTTTTTTTTTTTCCTACATAGTCTTTTTTTTCTAGAATATGTATAAATGGTCATTTACAAAAGTGCAGAGACATGTGAAACCATGCAGTTATGTTTACAAATATTAACTTCTACCATCTAAAGCAGGGATGGGGAACCGTGGGCCTTCCAGACGTTTTGAACTACATCTCCCATAATGCTCTTACTGCCATAATGCTCTTACTGCCATAATGCTAGCAAAGCTTTAAGGGAGATGTAGTCCACAACATCTGGAGGGCTGAAGGTTTCCCACCCCTGATCTAAAGGTATAGTTAAGACTTGCTTTGCATCTCCTATAAGTATTTATATATGTATATATATATATATATATATATTTTAATTAATGCAGACCCTTATTTAATTACATTCAGAAATACTCTACAATATGTAGAGTATTAAGAATCACCTCAATATGTTGCACTATTCACAATAAACATGTAATTACATGTATATATTTGACTTTGGTTTTAAACTGTTTATAATTAAAGATGTATTTTGATATTTCTTGTGTTGAGTCTTAATGTTGCTACAGGACAGGAGGCTTCATATCTTGCCTAACACTTTCTTTACTGAACTATCAAATTAGGGACTTAAGTCATTTTCTTTCATCCAATAGCAATTTAGTAGATACTGCCCTCATTTGAAATCCCAACATATGGCAATCCAACATAAAGATACCATCTTTACTAAACAACTGATCTTAATTTTGATCTCTGTATCTTAACAGATAGCAGAGATGCATAGTTTTGATGTTTGATATACACTTAAATAGACAATGTCTATAGTGCAGAATAAAGTTAAAAAACAAACTATCTTTTTTTATTTTTATTTTATATAAATTATAGAACTTGGACCCACCCCCCACTTACTCCGTGGTGTCCCTTTAATTTAAATAAGGTATTTATTGTTTTACAGAGGAAGCAGGAAGTGGAGCAGTTGAACTTGCATAATGTCTGATAGTAGTGTATATAACAAAAAACTGCCAATGATGAAATTAAACAATGTCTTACACGTTATACTCACTCTAAAAACCTGCCTACTGCTGTTAAAGGAACACTATAGTCACCAGAACAACTATAGCTTAATGTAGTTGTTCTGCTGAGTATAATCATTGCCTTCAGGCATTTTCATGCAAACACTGCCTTTTCAGAGAAACTGTAATTTGCATCTCTCTCATTTATTGCACCAACACATAATTTTTTTTTTTTAAGGGCAAAAATGGCTTTAATTCGATGTCACACATACATTTATAAATTCTTATTAACTATAAAAAAAAAACAATGGGGGTGGGGGGGGACAAACCAATTTTTTTTTTTGGCAATCCCAGCATGTGCATGTGTCCAGCTTATAAAAAGTAATTCAAAGTAAATTAATTTGTCTTGCTTTATAGAGTACATAACTTGTATACGATTTCAGCTTATTTTGAAAGATACAGGTCACAAAATAACAAGAACTAAAATAAAATTTCTATGTGAAACAATTTTAGAAGCTGGTGTTTGTCTTGTTAGTTAAGTAGCGATCACAAAAACAAAATAGCCATCACAAAAGTATATAATGTAGACATCAGACTATTTACCTAAAGTTATTTTGACACTTTTTACATAACCATTTCATCGCCAATCTCTGCTAAATATAGGAGTAAAAATTGTGGGGGGGGGGGGTTCTTTCAGTTTTCATACATGGATTTGTTGGGCCTATGTCTCATTTTTGGGGTGTTGTAGCAGTTTAATTGTTCAAATAACCTCACAAAGGGCTTCCATTTAAGAAAACTGACACCCCAGTGTATTTTATATGGTATGGTATATTGTGCCTTGTCACCATTTTTCACTAATTTATTGCTTGTTGCATTTTTGCTGGGTATTTCTTAAAATTGATGTGCCACTGTCATAAAATCCACCAAATTATGCTCTGTTACTGAGTAAAACAATATGCCCAATGTATGACCTAGACACTATTTTGTGAGGTTAGAGTGCTGTAAAAGAGACATGACAAGTTTAGGTTTTTAAGTGTGAATTTTCATAGATGGTGTTGGTATAACCAAAGCCAGCGGCCCTACCCCACAAAAGGTTGTCCATTAATATGCAGTTGTTTAAAGACTTGTCTGGTTAACTAGATTCAGCCTCTCTTGAACATGACACAAACCATGTAATTGAAACCACTATTTATCTGGCATTTTATGTTTTCCTTCGGCCACGGGAATTCAGTCAGTAGGCGGCATCACTCTCGGCATTGCCTCTTAAGCTCCTATCTAGGATCACTATGTCCTGTCACTACCCGTTACCAAAATTAGTCAACTGGGTCAGCTAGTCCAGATTCCTTACTATCCATGCACAATAGATGGTGCCCAGTGAAGGTTTTTGATTCATATCTCCTCACACTAACTACTCCCTCATCACGACCATTGCTGTCACTTCACGGGACTAACATCGAAGTTCATGCTATGTTTGGTTATTGTTAGTAAGACTGGGAATGAATCCCAGTAGGTATTCAGGACATTCTTTTAGGATAGGGGCAGCTTCTATGACATCCAGCCAGGACATTCCAGTTCATGTTATAAAGTCACTGGGTAGATGGAAGTCATCAGCTTATTCAGTGTACATACCTCAACCTGTACTGGAAATGCGGAAGGCTTTTGTCAAAGTGCCTTCGTAATGCATTTACTTTGTATTTTAATTTCTCAATAAATGAACAACGGCATGGTACTTCTCCCGGTATTGCCCATTTTATTTACTGGCCTACCGCAAACCTCAGTTTCGGCACACCTCAACCGACTTGTTCTATTACAGGTTATGCTATTACAGTGTTGCATTAATCATATTCGATGTTGCCCCGAACACACACATCTATGTGTATGTGTATGTGTGTGTATTTTTGCATAGCAAGACCACTTAATGTTACATCACATATAAATTATTATTATAGCAGCCAAATTTACCACCATAACTCCTCCCACAGTTTTTACTCTACATAGACAGTAATATACTGAAACATGCGGATTGTTCCCGATTGGATTGCTATTACTTTGTGGAACGTTTCGCCGAATGGTTCATGGAATATCGTCGTTTGTGTGGCAAAATTGGTTACATAGGAATGAATGGCGAAATATTCAAAACTAGAGTGGGAGCTGGCAAAAGCTGAAAAATCAGGACATAATTTCTAAACTGCCACCACTCCCTCATTTTCAAGCCCACCTACACAAATCTTATATAAAAACGTTCAGCTATCCCTGCTGCGACTAAAAATGTCCACGGCTAAGCCATAGTCCTGATAGTTTTCACAATATGACCATTTGTTTGCAACTAACGCCGTCCATTGACATTTATTGAAACTCCACTCTAGCCAGCTCAAATTTGAAGGGCAATTTCTAAACTGTGACTTTACCTTCATTGTTAATATTTCAGAGACATACTATGCATCAAAATGTAGGTCTGGGTCTCGTGATTCTCACAATATAAAGCTCTTCGCTGTAGGATTTATAGTTTTTAAAATATGACCGTTTAAAGATGGCAACCGCCAAAATACTCTGTCCTGTGCCAGGCAGCAGCAAGTGATGTCATAGACAGGGCCTTTTATAGACCCGCTAATGTTTTTATAAATGTATGGTTTAATGTAACTGTGCAACAACGTTGCAATTAAATGTGCTATATAAATGATAGTAACTTCGCCCACTCCAGTTGTAGACTACTGGTGGAGGCAAGAACACCACACAATTTCCCCAGAAATTGTAGCTTTTCTAGTTCTTATTCTTATTATTGCCAAATTTGCCACCCTAACTCCTCCCACAGTTTTTACACTACATAGACAAAAATTTACCAAAACGTGCAGATTGTTCCCGATCGGATTGCTATTACTTTGTGGAACGTTTCGCCGAATGGTTCACGGAATATCGTCGTTCTTGTGGCGAAATTTGTCCCATAGGAATGAATGGCAAAGCTAGAGTGGGAGCTGGCAAAAGCTGACAAATCAGGACATGATTTCTAAACTGCCACCACTCCCTTATTTTCAGGCCCACCTACACAAATCTTATATCAAAACGTTCAGCTATCCCTGCTGCCACTAAACATGTCAACGGCTAAGCCATAGTCCTGATAGTTTTCACAATATAATCATTTGTTTGCAACTAACACCGTCCATTGACATTCATTGAAACTTCACTCTACAAAGCTCAAATTTGAAGTGCAATTTCTAAACTGCGACTGTGCCTTCATTTGTAATACTTCAGAGACATACTATGCATCTGGGTCTTGTGATTCTTACAATATAAAGCTATTCGCTGTAGGATTTATAGTTTTTAAAATACGACCGTTTGAAGATGGCAACCGCCAAAATACTCTGACCTGTGCCAGGCTGCAGCAGCAAGTGATGTCATAGACAGGGCCCTTTGAACAACTGCTAATGTTTTTATAAATGTATGGTTTAATGTAACTGTGCAACAACGTTGCAATTAAATGTGCTATATAAATGATAACAGTTACTCCGCCCACTCCAGTTGTAGATTACTGGTGGAGGCAAGAACACTTCACACAATTTCCCCAGAAATTGTAGCTTTTCTAGTTATGTTTATAATACATAATAGATGCATGCATAATACATTTGGAAATTACATACACATATATAAAATGTAACAAGGGTTTCGCATTCGTTAAAAAGTTTTCACAAAATTTTTGTGGGGGGTTTTCAATTCTTTCTTTTATTGAGGCAAAGATTGTCAGGGTACATAAGAAAAACAAGGAGTTATAACAGGCATGTACATGATGAGGATGCATTAGTTTATACACATATAATTAATTACTCCTGTATTCGGTAGCCCCATTTTTATAGAATGACCAGGCGTATCCCATGTTTTTAGCAGTAAGTTTTGTGGGTTAAGCCTCCTGGCTTACGTGGCCGTAAGCTTTGACCTGATGTGTGCTACCTTGGTTGCTATGGTGGCCTGAATTTTAAATTTTAGGAACAGAAAATCTGCATTGCAAATTTGAACATTTTTCCAACTTACCTATAGTAACAGCTCGACTATTAAAGCCTAAATTTTGCAATTTAGATTTTCATTCACAAAAATTCTGGCTGTCTCACAGCCTCTCATGCCCTTATGTCAGACTATATCCAATGAAGAGTGCATTTCTTATAGGTAAGCATTGTGATTGACTGAGATCATAAATTCTGATATCAGCCAAGGATGTAGATCGGGGCAGACCCAGCACTGGCAGACTTGCACAGTGCTGGAAAAAGGTAAGTTTTCTTATTATTTAAAGGGAAGGTGGGATGCAGGGACCCTACATGTGTTTTTAACACTTTAAGATCAGGAATACATGTTTGTATTCCTGATCCTATAGTGGTCCTTCAAGTCCTGTGAGTGCGTGTCTTCTTGTTGGTTAAACAAATGTCAATCATTTGTTTGTTTTTTCACCTGTATATCTA